TTTTAAGATTATTAGAATTTTGTGTTTTTTTTGCGTTCCATATTATTTATGACAGCAATTGACTTTTTAAAAATGTTTTACAAAATCTATTAACATTTTTATCAAAGTATCTTACTACAGAAATAGAATCTTAAAATTAAAGACATGTTGTTCGAAGTTATGAACAATATGTTAGATTCCCAACATTCTCCTTAAAGTTTTTTACAAAATGTCTCTCAGTAAGTTTGATTATATGAAAAAAGTTCTGTATGGCTAGTTTTTGCCAATGTGTTTTGTTAAATTGTCTTAAATTGTCTAACCTCCTGTAACCTAAAACTTATGTAATGACTAAGTCTAAGGCTACATTTCATGGCCTCTGATTGGTTCTGATTTGACCAATGACGTGTCTGGATAAACAGCTGTCATAATTCACAAAATATGTAAATATAGAATGGTTTTTACAAAATCTACAATCCCCAGTTTCAACTAAAAGTTAATGCCAAGTCTATATAGGAAGGGATAAATCCATCTATTGGTCGGTTTACATAAAACTGAGTCGGATAAATCCAACTATTGGTCAGTTTACTTAAAACCAAGTCGGACTCGGATAAATCCAATTATTGGTTGGTTTACTTAAAACCAAGTCAAGATAAAACTCGACTTATCACTTGGGTGTAAATAAACGCTAAAACCGTTTTTTTGGGGGGGGGGTTAAGCTTTTGAATGCTCAGTTTAGTTCTAATTGGTTTTCATGTAATACATTCATTGAAAAGTATCTATTTTAGTGTGAATATGTACATAGAAAACCCGTTCATCACTTCATATACAACTGATGTAGAGATGTCAGGATTGGATATTATCTCAAGTATAGGAGGACTTTTGGGACTTTTCATTGGTAAATAGTATTAGAGAACTTTTAGGACTTTTCATTGGTAAATAGTATTTAAAGACTATTAGGACTTTTTAATGGTAAATAGTATTAGAGGACTTTGGGGACTTTTTATTGGAAAAAATTATATTGGTGGACTTTGGGAACTTTTTTTTGGAAAAAATCATATTGGATGACTTTGGGGACTTTTTATTACTAAATAGTATGGATTTTTGAATTTTGATATTGGTGTAAAGTATGGTTAGGACTTTTGGGACTTTTCATTAGTAGAAATTATTAGTGGACTTTGAATTGGTAAATATCGAAAGGACTTTTAATGGTTTTTTTATTATTAAGCAGTAGCAAAGGACTTTTCGGACTTCTATCGGTAAATAGCTCAAAAGGACTTTATGCGATAAAAATATATATACTATGATAAATTCATATACATTTGAGACAAAAAATCTTCAGGAAATTCAGAATAAGATTGAATAAAGCCTGTTTGTCGTCTAAACGTATCATACATTCTTGATAACCCTGCATGATTATTATAATATAATGTTTATTAATGTTTATATATTATTCTAGGATTTTCCCTTTTTACCCTTGGAGAGATCGTTTATTATCTGCTCCTCATGTTCATTAGAATAATTACAAAAAATTGATGGAAAATTATTAATTCAAATTACTCTGAAATAAAAGTATTCTAATCGTTATTTTCAATTTATTTTTTTACTGTTTAGATATAAATAGGGTTTCCAGTGAACGGAACGTTTCGCTAAAAATGCAAAAATTTTTGGTCGCATTTCGCATCTTTTTTCGCAAAATTTTGTGAAAGCCATGAGTTTGTTGGCTGCAACAATTAATTGCTCAAAAGAATTCTCTGCTCTGATAGCTAAATATTTGAAATTATCATTGTTTTAATTGAACTAAAATTGTTTAATCATAATCATATATAACAACAACAAGTATCAAGAGTTAAAAGTAAAGTTTTTTAACGTATCTTGTAATTATGGATAGTTATCAAGCAGGGTGAATTTAAAATATTCCAAATTATTTTGGTTCGTCCCGTAGTAGATTTGATTTTGTGTTTTAAGATGAAAGATCTTAAGGGTTGAGAAAGTATTTTCAAGCAAATCTATAAATTGTCTTATGTCTCCTAGTCATTCTTAAATATATATCTATATTTTGTCTTAATCCATCAATTGGGATCGCGGATAAATCCCTCTTTGAAAATGAGTCTTGTATTCTCAAAATTTAGTCTTTTTGATGAACTTTTTAACTTTTTCGCTAAAATTTTACTTTTATTTCAAGAAACTCTGTATTTTTCGCGAAATACTCGATTTTTTTCTTTGAAATTTCCATTTTTTTGCGAAATTTTCGCATAATTTATTTTTTGCAAAATTTTTGCATTTTTTTTGCAAAATTTTTGCATTATTTTTTGCGAAAGAGATTGAAGCGAAATTTTGCGAAAGAAGTGAAAATTTTCACATTTTCGGGAGCAAACAAAATGAGAAAATTAAGCAAAATTTTCGCGAAAAATGAAAAAATGATTTTTCCTTTTTGCAAATGATTTTTCCTTTTTGCTGGAAACCCTAGATATAATTGATCGTGAACTGTGTAATTTTTAATGATTACTTAAAAATTGTGGAGGAAATTATGAAACTAACACTTGAAAAATGACGATTTCTTCCACATTATTGATCATATAAAATGTTAGAGGGTACCGTTGTGAATCGGGCTTGATCTTTTTTATATGGAAATTTTAGTAACAATGCAGTGTACAGGTCACAGTAAACAATACAATATAAAGTTCACAGAAACAGTACACATTAAACAGTACACAGTACAGATTTAAATTAACACACAGAGTATATATATCAGTACACAGTACACAATATTTAATAAACAGGATACAATACACAGTGCACAATGATTAGTAGTTAGTACACAGTACAGAGTTAAATTAACACACAGAGTATATATATTAGTACACAGAGTATATATATTAGTACACAGTACACAATATTTAATAAACAGGACACAATACACAGTGCACAATGATTAGTACACAGTACAGAGTTAAATTAACACACTGAGTATATATATCAGTACACAGTACACAATATTTAATAAACAGGATACAATACACAGTGCACAGTGATTAGTACACAGTACAGAATAAATGGTACACAGTGTACGTGCAGAGTACACTCTGTGCAAATTTAAAAGTAATCATTACAAATTACAAAGTTCACGTCAATGATATCTAGGGTTTCCAGCAAAAAGAAAAAATCGTTTCGCGAAATTTTCGCATTTTCTATTTTGCAAACATTTTGCCGTTTTTCGCGAAACAGATCGAAGCAAAATTTTGCGCACATTTTTTGCGAGCAAAAGAAATGAGAAATAGTCTCGTAAAAAAATTTTGTGATATGATTTTCCTTTTTGCTGGATTTGAATGTTCTAAAATCATCCTTAATCTATAAAATGAGTCATAATATGATCATAAATCATCATTAAAAGTAAAAAATGTATGATAGCAAACCTCTAATAATAAAAAATGCAGCAAAGTTTCTTGTGCATTTTACCTAGTGCATTTCACTTCCCACACCTGGAAAAGTTATTATTACTACTGATGCCCCCCTGAATTTAAAATGTTAGAATTGAATATCTTTTCAGAAAATTAGTAATTACTAAATTAACTCTAAATGGGTTTTTACAAGCACAATAGAAAAGAATATAATAAAAATATTCATAATAAAGATAAAGACATGGAAATGAAAGGGATTCAAAGTGTGCTATGGAAACGCCTCAACACGGCAACGTCTCAACACGGAAATGCCTCAAAAAAAGAGGAAACCCCTCCAAAACCGGTTTTTTAGAGACGTTTCCGCAATTTCTGCAAGAAAAACGGAAATCCCTCAAAACCCAGTTTTTGAGGGGTTTCCTCTTTATTTTGAGGCGTTTCCTAAAATTTTTGAGGGGTTTCCGCTTTTCACCCGACAATTACTTTTGAGGAATTTCCCAATATTTTTGATGGATTTCCCAATATTTTTGAGGCATTTCCGCAAAATTCTTGAGGCGTTTCCGTATTTTAAAAACTTGATTTAGTTGAGGTGTTTCCTCTTTTTTTTGAGGCGTTTCCGCAAAATTTTTGAGGCGTTTCCGTATTTTTTTAACCCTGATTTAGTTGAGGTGTTTCTACTTTTTTTTGAGGCGTTTCTGTTTTTTTTGAGGCGTTTCGTTTTTTGAAAAAAGTTTTTAAACTTTATTTTGTTGAGTACTTTTAAAACTTTATTTTGTTGAGGCGTTTCCGTATGTTTAAAAACTTCATTTAAATTATTGAGTGGTTTCCGTATTTTTTAAACTTCATTTAATTGAGTTTTTTTCTATTTTTTTGAGACGTTTCCGCAAAATATTTGAGGTTTTTCCAGATTTTTGAAAACTTCATTTAGTTGAGGTCTTAACTCTTTTTATTTTGATGAGTTTTTGTTTTAAAAAAATTTCAAAGCTTCAATTATTAGAGTTGATTTCTCTTTTTTCTTACGGGTTTCCAGAATTTTTGGAGGAGTTTGTCTTTTTAGATAACTTCTTAAATTTATTATAGAGGAGACTTATTAGAAAATTTCGTTTCTGTTTTTTCAATAAAGGCTTTTAAAACATAAAGTTGAGACATTTCCGCACATTTTTCCGAACAGTTTAGAGGAGTTTCCACAATTTACTTTTTAAAAAATTGAAATTTCATTTTAATTTTTCAAAAAAATTTTACAACATTTTTTTATTCTCGTACGGAAAAAAACGGAAACGCCTCAAAAACAACGGAAACGCCTCAAAAAAAAGAGGAAATGCCTCAACAAAATAAAGTTTTAAAAGTTTTTTCAAAAAACGGAAACGCCTCAACAAAATAAAGTTTTAAACACCTCAACTTTAAATATTAGGAAACGCCTCAAAAATATTCGGAAATCCCTCAACATTTTCCAGTTTTGAGGGATTTCCCAAAAAAAACGGAATTTCATCAAAACCGGTTTTTGAGGCATTTCCGCGTTGAGACGTTTCCGTGTTGAGGCGTTTCCATAGCACCATTCAAAGGTGTACTCAGGAATTTGTCCAGAGCCCAAAATTTAAAAGAGTATTGTTGACCAAAACTCCCAAGTTTCCTTTTTGGGGTCTTAAAATTTGTGTAGATTTCCATTAGAGAGATTTTAAAATAATGGAAAACATGAAGAACTAAATAAAATAATATTTCATAACAAAACTATTCCTATCCACATAACTGCCTAGTGCCTAACCCTGGTTTCAAAACTGGTTTTCATAACGATACCCTGTCTTAGTTTTGGGCTCAGGGGTATTAAAATTTTTTCTTTCCAGGGTGGCTTAGCACATGTTGGGGCATAAACACCAATAGAAATCATAATTTTAATGATTCATGGAGGGTGAGGGGGGTTGATATATCGCAGACCCCCCCCCCTCCCTCCTCTCCCACTGAGTACGCCTCCAAAGGGGTCCCCATTTACTAAGATTGATAATGAGAGCAAAGGATATATTAATATCAGTTTTAATTTTCAATATAAAAAAATCTTTCAAAAACAATTATGGTTTTTTTAAACGGAGGAGGGCAACGTTCTATTCAAACTTTAGGTAGGGTCCAAGAATAAGCTACCCCCCCCCTCCCCCTTCCTTGTAGTGCCTGGAGGAATGTTTAGTTAAAGGTGAAAGCCAATTCACCCAATGTGCAAACATTACACATATAAATTATCTATTTATGAATAATTATAAAAATCAATACTTTTTATTGAATTGCACTTATGCTGTTTACAAACCCAGCTAGACCGTTGAGTTATGAAGGCCTTTAAGGTAGATTTTATTTTTATTCAATGTATCAATATTTGTATTTTTTTGCTTATGGTATAACTATAAAGTATAACTGCTGTAGAAGTTAACAGTGTAGATTGTAAAATATAATCTTAGATTGGGTCTGTTCGTGCTCTGTGTAGATGTAATGTCAAGATTCACTTTACTGAGCCCAACATTTGAAAAAGTATCATTGCATGAAACTGATGAGTTTCCTTTTTGGGGTCTTAAAATTTTGTAGATTTTGATTTAAGAGTTTTGAAAAAAATGCAGAATATTAGAAACTAAATGAAATAATATTTTATAACAAAAATATTGATATCCAGAAAACTGCCTAACCCCAATCCTAAAACCCAGTTTAAAAAATGGTTTTCATAAAAATACCCTGTTTTAAGTTTTAGGCTCTGAAAACCTGCCATATGTTCGATACACAATGTATGCTTTATCCCCATTTCTAAGTAGAAAAAAAGATTGATTTTTTACAATTTCTGTCATTGTGTATATAGCATGCATCTGCAAGTCAATCAATTTGAAATATGCCTGCAGTACCTTTAATAAACAAAAAATCTAGGATTTTTGTAATGAAACTTCATTACCTGGCTGGTCAAGACTTACAGGTTAATTTCCAATACATCAAAAATAATTTCAGTTTTCATTTCATTAATTTTATAAATATATGTTTTAGTTAATTTATTATGATTAAGGGATACTCCAGAACCAATTTTATGTCTCTTTTTTTTTGCAAATGAAGTGTATCTACTACAGTCAGTTTCTTTTCTAGTTAGCACTGCGTTTGTTTACATCTCTCTCACAAACTGCTGTACAGTTTGTCTATAAACAAAGCAATGGTTTTTTTATGTTAGGTACTTTCCTGGAGAAATTTTTTCCCAAACAGCACCTTCCTTAGTTTACAATGTCTCAAGTGGCAACTTCCCAAGTCTGCCTTATCTGCAGTGCTCAGTCTATTGTCTGTTCTAGCTGCAGCCTCAGCCCCCTAGCCCATACTAGTTGCATAGCTTGGCCCATATTGTAGCCTCACCACCTTAGAAGGCCTAACCTATAACCTTTAAGAAGTGCCACTTCGAAAATTGCACATTTGGGAAGTCACTTATGGGGAAATACCTTAAACCATTGTTGTATGGAAAACCCTGTCATCATGCAAATTACATAAATGCTACCAAATTAAACTTAAAGCAATTTAAGATATAATCAGTAAGGGATCTATTCAGGTTCAAAAAAGAATGTCCCTTATTGGGCGTTGGTAATACTTGCTTTAACTGTAACAGGTAAAATTATAAATTATATTTAAAATTGTTAAATAACATTTTAGACTTTTATAGTTGTTAGTGATGGATAAATTGCATTTCAATTAAATTTATAACATTTTGAGAAAATCAAATACTTATTAACATTTTATAATGCATCTTTGAGGGGTTTCCAAACCAGGACCGCAAAGGTTTCTTTAAGTATGGGTAAGCCATACTAAAGTCTATATTCTCTTCGTACAGCTATTTAGATAAGTTTAATCTGAATAGTCAGGAACAGCCCCTTTAAATCTGCTTGGACCAACGAGCGCAAAGAGAAGCAAACTGACAAGCACCCAGCATGATAAAGCTCTAAAGCAGAGAGGAAGACTTCACTCCCACTTTTACCATCAACTTATAAAGATATTCAAATGTATACTGGTTGTGCATGGAAGGCCTTACATAACTGTTCCTGAAGCTTTTAAAAATTATAAACCATTAAAACTTTTGGAAATTAACAACAAAACCTTTCTTGAATAATATTAGAATAAAGCCACCCCTTAAATAATACACACTACACAGAGCTTAGTGTGACATTTAGAAAAAAGTTCACACACAATTATTCGACAAAGAAATGATCCAGAATAATCCTCAAGTAAACCTTTTTCATTTGGTCACATCAAGCTCTGTGCAGAAGTATTTAATCTTATTTATTCTTAATTCAGTACATAGATTTCGCAATTAATTTACTAAAGTTGTAATGGTTTATAATCTTGGCTTCAGGAAAGATTCTTTGAGGACTTTACAGGTCCAAATGAATCTGGAAAAAATTGGAATACTGCCAATCCAATCTGAGAATTTTGTTAAGTAAAATATTAAATTGATGATATTTTTTCTCCAATCTTTAGGTCTGGCTTTAGCACACAATATGCTGTGTGACTACCTTCAGAGTGGGGTTGTTACCACTCTAAACTCAACCACTGGAAATATCTTAAATGCTGAGTTCCCTGCGCTTCATATATGCAACAGTTATCAGATAAGGTCCAAGAAACTACTTTTCCTATTGCCATTGCAACCAATGCGTTCTTTACTGCCTTTTGGACAACACTGCCAACATGATTCCCCAAAATTCAGTAAAATTAACCTCCCCCTCTGCTGTGAAAATAAATTCATGCATTTTCATCTCAAAAGACTATGAAATTCTGTACAGTGCTTTTTTAGGAAATTAGAAATTTTACATAAAGACAGGTTTCCTGGTCATGAAGTTTTAGACAAAAGCAAATTGCATGTAGAAGTTACTACAAGGGATTGTAATATTCAGTTTGCAAAAGCTCCCATCCCAATATCACTATAATATATTATCATGTGTGTGTTTCACTGTATCAGCAATATTATGGATCCAATTACTTTAGTATTTGAAATTCTATGAGTATCTTAATATTTTAATAAGAAATAAATTTTTTCTTCTTCCTGGTTTTTGAAGACCTTGGTCGTCCCCCCTCCCCCCTCCCTCCTTCATTTCAAATACACAATTTTCTTTTTCAAATGCACAAATAAGGGGTGGGGGTCCAAAGTTCGTACATTGATTATGCGCTAAATTCATCTTTTTTTCTTCTAGGAAATCCTTTTTTGAAGGAGTTTTTAATACATCTTTTGACAACATCATGGAAAATTCTACCCTGAAAGAAATGTATAATGCTTTTGTCAAACATTATTTTACTGGTAAGACAAATTGCCTTTTGTGTAAGATATATTTTTATAGTTCACAAATTACTTTAAAATCTACATCAATGTAAGGGGTTTAAATTTATCTGACAATGATCTGATCATTTATTTTCAAGAAAGCCTTGTAATTAAGTCTTTGACCTGAAGAAGCCCGAATAAGTTGTTTCACAAGGCATCTAATATATCCACAAGCAAGGAAACAACTGTGAACCCTTCCAATATGACGTAAAACCAGCTGTGTTCCATTAATTCCAACCCCTCATCCCTCTCCATCCACAAAAATATTTAATAACCTTGTCGGAGACTAAATTTAGTGAATTTTATCTGCCTACTGCTTGTTTAATGAAGGGTTGTTTATGATCGTTACCGAAACAACAAACTTTATGAAAGCTCTCATTTTTTGAAAAAACTATAGTTTTTGAAGAAAAAAAAATACATGAAACATTAATGAATGTTGTCTTACATGAAGGTAAAGAGTTGTGAGGGAGCTAAAACTTCTTGATATTTTCTTTAAAACTGCTAAATGATACATACCGATGCCCTTTCTGTGAACCCTTCCAATATGAAGTAAAACCAGCTGTGTTCCATTAATTCCAACCCCTCATCCCTCTCCATCCACAAAAATATTTAAAAACCTTGCCTGGGACTAAATTTTATGAATTTTAACTGCCAACCACTTGTTTAATGAAGGATTGTTGTTTATGACTGCTACCGAAACAACAAACTTTATAAAAACTGTCATTTTTTTCAAAATTATAGTTTTTGAAAAAAAAATACATGAAACATTAATGAATGTTGTCTTACATGAAGGTAAAAAGTTGTGGGGGATCTAAAACTTCTTGATATTTTCTTTAAAACTGCTATATGATACATACTGATGCCCTTCGGGGCACTTTTACTCTCTCCTCCTCTCTTCATTAATGAAGGGTCGTCGTTAATGATGGGTCATCATTAATGATTGTTAACGAAACAATAAGCTTTATAAAACGATCATTTTTAAAAATGATTGTTTTAAAAAAAATTGTTTTTAAAAGCTAACTTTCTTTAAAAATTATCATTTTTAAAAACAATCATTTCGGTTTCATTTTTCCTCTCGCTGTTTTCAAAACCAAAGAATTGTTTAAAAAAAAGGAAAGGTTAACAATCCGAAAGCCTATAACATTAGCAAACATTTTGCACAATTTTGCAAAGAAATTTAGAACTGATTTTTGCACTGACACCTTTAAAGGGAATTTCCATATACCCAGTTTTTCTTGAAAACACATTTAGGTTTTAAAATTTTGCAAATTTGTTTGCAGATTTGGATTTTCAAGGGCTTTCAAAATGTTGTTGCAATTTTAGCAATTTTTTATCTGCTTTTTTTTGCTTTATAACTAAATTTGGATTTTTGAAAATGCCATTCTATTTGCCGACTATTAAGGTAGAGCCTAAGGGTTTTCCAAAAGTTTAAAAAATGTTGCAGATTAGTATCACAACAAGAAAATAGGGGGGGGGGGTCAATTTGATCCCCTTCCCAGGCAACCAGTCAGTAAACCAGATTTTAGGCTAAATAGTTATAATGTAGTTAATTCAGTAACCTATGTAGATCAAATTAATTAAATTGGCTAGTGTACCTAATGGTCTCAGATGTCTAGAGTGAGCCTTCACTAACAAATTAAATTTTGATATTTTATTTAAACTTTTGTTTTAAAACACATATTTTAAAACTTATTTTATAAATTTTAATTTCATTAACTTAATTAAAAATTGACATAATGTTTTAGGATACCCTGAACATGATGTAAATTTTTACAAAGAAGCAGTTTCAGCTTTAAATAGAAATTATTTGAATACAACAAGCTTCAGGAATAAGAAAGACAGCCTTTTATGGATTAGTTAAATATCTTTTTTCATTAACCACTGGGTTATAAACCACAAATGTTACTTTAATGAGAGAATTTTCAGGAAATCACATAGTCTTCTTTCCAACATAAAAAGAATCCTTGTAACTGTAAATATGTTTATTTCTTAGTATTTTTAACTTTTAATGATTTATCTTTTAACTAATTCATAATAAAATGTAATTTGTAAAGTAAGCTAATTCAGCGCCTGTGTCCTAAATATATCACTTCATGCTCACAAATCTTGCCAATTAATGAGCACAGGGCAATTACAATGCTAAGGTATAGAAAATAATCTTAAAAAAGGCATCTTTATTTTGATGCATAATTAGACTTAAAATTTTTCAGAATTCTTATTTTTAACCCCAAAATATTCTAACATTTTTGTATTTTTTGCTGATTTGAGATAAATTAATGTATTTTTGCATAAAGTTATTGAAATGGGTGAAACACAGACTAGCATTGAAATTGTTTTTGGAAATATATAGTTTTTGTAGATCCATTTGTAAAATCGATTTATTTAGTGCGCAAGTTGCACAAGATGAAATGATTCTGAGATATTTTGATGGAAACAACACAACTGTAGATATGACTGATTATAGAGTTGATAATGAAGTTATCTTAGAACAGTTTTGCTTCAAACTTGTGCACCATAAGTCACAAGGTGTAATTGGAAGAACTCATGGCTTGAAGGTAATAAAAAAATACACTACTTGGTTGGACTCTAACTTTCATAACCTATCATCTTATTTAAAGGTCTTCAGCATAAGGTTGCAAAAATTAAAAAGTTTGAGATTTTTGCAACTGTCCAGTTTATTTGTTTCTTTTACAATTTCTTTGTTTCTTTTTCCTGAAAAGTAAAAATTCAGCAATGAAAGATTGAAAGTTATATATATAGACTAGGGTTTCCACACTTTTAATTAAAACTCAAAAAAGTGAAATTATAGACAAAAATTCGCTTAATAAACATTTTTCAGTTGCCTTTTAACCTATTTTAAATTGCTATTTTTGAAGTAAAAAATAATTCATAATAGAAGACATTGCCTAATTTGCATCTTAAAATCATCTAAAACTCAAAATGCAAAATTAAGGACAAAATATTTATTGACTGCACTTTAATTTCTTTCCAATAATTATCTTTGAAGTAGAAATAACTTCATTTTTGACAAGTAAAAGTCCCCTAATGAGCAAATTAAAATTGTCAATTTTCATGCAGGTACTCAAAAACTGGTTTAAAAAATCAGCTGATGGGTTAGCTTGATTACTAATTCTAGATCTTCATTATACATTTAGTTAGTTTGCAAATTCCATGTGCTCACTTAGACTGTTCATTTCTAATTACCACAAATTGTGATATGTGAATGTTTGAAAAAGATAGAAACTGTCACTGAAATTGGAGGAAAATCAAGTTTAAAAGTTTAAAGATAAATAAGCGATTTTTGTTTCTTTTTTGTAAGCTATATATTTCTTCTTCAAAATAAGCAATTTTTTGGTTGAAAATAAGCAATTAATTGTCTTTTATGTTCAAAGATTTGTAATTGCTTAATTGGTGCCATCCAACTCTTACACCTGATTAGGCAACTTTTTATCGCTCAATTATGATTAAACTTTTAGCGCAATTGGAATTACGTTGTGCGGGATTGTCAACAGTGCAGATTGCCTGCAACTGTTCTTGTACTGTGCAGAATTGTGGGAAATTCCAAAGAAATTACTGGGCCCACAATTGCATGCAGGCAAAATCTACTTGCATTGGAAACCCTATCTTAGACTAGATCTAGACTATCAATCTGTTTTGTCAGGCATTGGTTGATACTGAGAAGTATAACAATGGTGATATTCATGATGAGAATAATTTGAGTCTAATTGTGCAAAACAGACTTGAAATGAAAGACAGGTAAATTACAGATTTTCCAAGAAATAGTGTTCTCATATGAAATAAATCAGTAAGAAGAAAAAAGTTAGTTAATTTTCACCCTGCATACCCACCCTGCAAATGTGTACACTGTAAACTTTTTATTGTATATTATTCAATATTTTCTTGCTGCGCGATCACAATCATAATACTTTGTTTATCAATTAAAATCCAATTGAATAGAAATATTCCGAATTATTTAATATTTTATTATTTTATTATAAAATTCTGAATCAAGTATGTAAATAATCATGCCTTCACATTGTGTGCATGTGACTTCACCCAAGCAGCAAAACTCAGAAACAAGCTTTTTAATTTAGATGAATAAAAAACTAGAGAATATTGTATCTTTACAACCAGAGACGCCTAGCGAGAGATTCTAGCAACATATTAATTCAATAAACTGAATAAAGATATCATTACTTTAAAATCTAAAATTTTTTGACTAAAATGGGGAATTAATTACAAAATAAATCATTCATATTTATTTATTAAATACAAAGAACGATAATATCTGCATACAGAAACTTTTAAATCTAAATATTTATTTTAGGTAGTAATCAGGGGCATATTCAGGAATTTGTCTGAAAAATTGTTTATTTTTCCCTAGAAATAAAAACATTTCTCATTTCAGAAAGAAAAAGAAAAACATTGAACTGAAAAAGTTTAGCAAGGGAGAAAATACTTTTTCTGGGAACACACAATTTCACCTGTTAAAATATATACCCCTAACAAAAGAGATTAATGGATTAATTATTTTATTTTCATGGAAATTCAAGTCGCATGATTCATTTATGTTTTTTAAAGATTGAAATCAAATAATTTATTTTTACAATTTAAGACGGGTACAGGCAAAATATCCAGTATTATCAGGATGGTGGTATTTGTGGGGAGGGGACAAATACTCAATCTGCATCAAGTTTTTTTTTAATCTCAAGGGATACCTTGAAATTGACATTTTGGGACACCCAAACGCTCCATTATACTACTGAAATCCAAAAATTTTCTCTTCTTCAAAGTTTCCAAGGGTCTCAAAACTTTGTAAAATATACCTGTTTTTAAGTTGTGGATTTTGGAAAAATATGATTCTGAAGAGGTGCAGGAGGGGGGGGGTTAAAAATATAAGTGTCACAAGAATTTTACACCCCTGGCTGGCAGGTGACACAAAATATGTTAGACTTAAAAATATTAATTTTAAATATGAGTAATAAGCAGTACAGAGAGTCTGAAGTACATTTAGTATTATAAATATCAAATACAAATCTTGGTAATTTCCAATTTTAAAATTTGTGGACCCCCCCCCCCATCCTATCAATTTTGTGCATGCATCTCATATGTAACACATCGATATAATTGGTCCTGTAGTCACAGTGCAAGACCTCCTAGCTGCAGCGGTGGCCCCAGAAATTGTCTTAACCTAATCTAACCCTAAATTAATACAAAATAATTATTATTATTTTGATGGTTAAAAATTAATAGGAGGGGGGGGGGGGGGTTTTATTTTTTATACTAGGACGGACCCTAACTTAACTTGAAAGTAGTGATCATGTACAAAATTGATATGGGCAGGGTCCAAAAATGGTATACTAGAATGAATTAGCTGCATGTAACATATTCAGCTCTTTGTATATATTAAAAACATGATTTTCGTCACTGTTCCTTGCAATTAAAGGAAATAACAAGGATGCTTAGCACAAAAATAATTTTGGCTAATTAGCGACATATATTGGTCCATCCTAGGTTTTCCAGTCAAAATTTTTTGCACAAAAATTATGCAAAAAATTGCGCACAATTTCAATGTTTTTGTGCAGTGATTTGCAAAAGCTGTTTCATGCAAATTCTGAAGAAAATCTGTGCATTTGCGTATTTCATTATTTTGAGCTATTTTGAGTTATTTTGTTATTTTGAGCTATTTTGAGTTATTTTGTTATTTTGATCTATTTTGTTATTTAGTTTTTTTAAGACATGTTTATCATAACAAATTTTATTAGAGAAAGTAACCAAATATTAAAATCCTTCATATTTCATATACCTTATAGCTATAAAAAAATAGGGATAATCTATATGGCATGCATCAAATATCATTTGCATTCATGCGCAATACTGCAGCACAAAAATTCCAATTTTTTGCATTGCACAACTACATGCAAAATTACCTGTATTCATGCACAATATCATGAAAAATTTCTGACGTGAATTTCGTATTAATGCAAAATTTCTTGCAAAAAAATTATTTATTTCGAATGAATGCACAATTTCGTGCAAAATTCGTTTAGCATTGATAACAAAACACCACTGCTTCTCTGAGATATATCACAGGTTTATGTTTTTTTGATAAAAAATTTTAAGCTGGAATTTTCATTTATACCGTTTGTCACCATATCATATTTAGAAATTGGGTCGGTGTACAGGGGCGTACTAGGGGGGGGCCGGGCCCCCGCCCCCCTCTATGTGTGCCCCCCCTGAGAGGCTGAGAGGGGGCACCCATGAGGGAGGCTCTTTTAATATTACATCTGCTTGCATTTCCCTTCCTCAGGCCAGGCACAGTGGCGTAACTAGGGGGCAATAGTCCTGTTGCCCCCCCCTGGGAGTTCCAGGCAGGGCACTGCCCCCCCTGTAAAATACAAAATTAAAAGGAAACTATGTTTAAAAAGTAACACCTGACAATGACAAAGACTAAGGATTTGTCTGAATTCATTGTTAATACAAGGAGAGAAAAGTTTTAGCCTTTTAAAGAGAATACTTCATTACACAATATGTATTATGACGGAGAGCAGACTTAAAGATCTTGCACTTAAAGCTTTATACCCTAAAAGGCTGTCTGAGCTCTCTACTGAAAAAATCATTGAAATGTTTGTGCAAGCAAATCCCAGAAAATTGTAGCTTAAAAGAGTTGGTGAATATGTAGATTGAGTAAATTCTATCTGAAAAATTCAGAAGAAATTTCGTTTATTAGTAAAAATATAATTTTTAATGATGCTGTGATATTGATTTATGGTATTTTTATGGTAAACAAAACAAGTCCAGGTGGGAGGGGGCAAAAAAAATAAAAAAGGTATCAATATTTTTTTCAAAAAATGGGTTTTTAAGGGGGGGCAAAAAAATGTTTGCGTGCTTACCCGCGAAAATTGTGCCCCCACTAAACAAAAGCCCTCGTACGCCACTGTTGGTGTATGAGCAGAAGCAAAATTTTGGATTGGCGCATGTGCAGATGAGAAATTAAATGTCCTTTTGATACAAATTCAAAATGGTTGAATTTAAAAAAAAGAAATAATTAAATATTCAATTTTTAATATTTATTTGCTTTAATTTACTGTAAAAATGTTCTTAAATTTATGAATAATGATTGTTTGATTCAAAATCCAGTATTTTTTATTATCATAAACAATTCATAATTATTAGATAAAATGGAATATATTTATATATATTTGGATTAGTAATTGATTTTAAAAAACTTTAAAGAATATTGAATTTCAAAAGAATGTATTTTTAGGAAGAAATTATTAAAAAAAAAGTAATATCATTAACAATAAGATTGATTGGCATTTTTACAAGATCCAGCTTTCATTGCTGAATTTTATAGTGTGCTTTTCAAGCAGACAGCATCTCCTGGGGAAAACACAGATCTTGGACTTAGTATTGTTAAATATGAAACAACTGAAGCTGCATTAAAGTTGGATCCAAAGATCAAGAAATGTTTGTACAACAAAGATCTTAAAAATCTTGAACCTTCCTTGGGCTCCAGGTAATAGTAAAATTAATCATTTTTGTTCCACAGATACTCATAGTAAATTCTAGTTCATAAAACAATGTAAATATGAAAATGAGGTGTGATGTTTAAGTTTTTAAGCCTCAGCTCCACAATTCTTAATTTAAAGTTCACTATATCTTTACTAAATATATTTTAGCCAGGTTGACACTCTATGACATCAGATTGACATCAAGTGGATTGTTGTTGTGATGTAAGGAGTGTTTTCCTGAAGGTGGATTAGCTTCATTGTCGCTGCATAAGACTATCTATTAGAGATGTCAACGTTTTATTTTTCTAGATTTTAGCTTTCGTTATGATAGTGTTCATCAAAAGTATAAACGTTTTAAACGTTATGTTGCACATTATGAAATTTTAAGGCATAGATTAACGTTACGTAATGAATTTTCTGCACTTGAATACCTTATACAACGTTAAGCTTTAGTAAATGTTAGTGAAAAAAGTAACCTCCGTTACGCTTTTGCATTTCCAGGTTTATAAAACAATCCCAACGTTGCGTTAAAGAATTTGTAATATAACCACCATTTTTTAACGTTCCACTTTCATGCAAGGTAAATATTTTCAGAGACCTTACCTTACATTGTCACTTGGTTTGAAAACTAATAGGTGACAAATGTTTTGCTTTCATAAAATGTCACTTAGGGCATAGTTCTGCATGTTGCAATGCATTTCAGTTCAAAGAATATTTTTTGTTATATAAACTCTTTTAATTACGTTTAGAAACTTTACAAAAATGCAACTTTTCTTACGTTACGAATTATTGAAACGTTATTGTGAAAACTTATTTGTTACACTTTTTTACAACAAAGAATCAAAACTGTTTATTCGTTTCGTTTCTAAGAAAGATTTGAATAAATGCTCTATACTTTTGTTAACACAAATTCAAATTATAAGGAAGACAATTTTACCGACTCAAATGCCGTAGCGTATTCTCAAGACGTGTTTATCCATTTCCGCCATGAAGCACCCACATGTCACCCTCGCTCCTTTGTTCCCCGCCTCACCCCTATACACATCCCAGCCCTCAGTCAGGTTAGGAGAGTTGAGCTAGTAGTAGCTCCGACACAGGGAGCCTCTTGACTCCTTTATGATGATGACGCAGATACTCAGCTAGCAGCAGACGTGCTTACTCGAAGGGTTCCCAGTTTATCATGCTTTCCAGAGACAACATAATCGCTCAATCGGACCATGATAAAACCGCAATCTCTGCCTACTAGGTTGGATAAGCCCTGTTGTTCCAGTTCCTGTTGATCTGCTCCACCAACATGAAGCTCTACATCTCTCCCATGAAGTACCCACAAATATTCATCATTAATTCCTTTGTTAATTTCTAAATCAACCAATTTTAACTCCGCTTTATGTGCAAATATTTCAAAACTTTCGTTTTTATTAAATAAATGTTAGAAATATTCATTTTGATCTCTTTTATTTTATTATAGTGACTTTTAAAGTCAACAACTTTGTGTTGTATTAAAATGTTCAGGACTTAACATTTCTTACATTACACTTCATTAAAAATAATATTGGTTCTAAATGAAAGTATTACAAGATTTTTTACGTGATAACTATATTACTATTTTAGTATTTTTCATCCTGAAACATGAACCATGCAAAAAATTGTGTTAATTCCTTTTAACTCACACTGTTTGTTGCTGTTGCATAGTTAACCTTTTTAAAGAATGTGCAATATAAAGATGTTAAATATATTGATATTTAAAATTTGTGAATCAAAGTTTTTAGCTTTAGACTTTCAACTCAAGGGTGTGTCTTAAAGGGATAAGAGACATAATTTCAAGTGACCATTAATGGAGTGGCATGCCCAGCATACATTTACAAGATAGGAAATGCTGGTATTTTCTAATCATAAATCAGATAAAGGTATACATGTTACCATTGGGAATAGAGCTTGGCCCTCTTTAAATAGAGGATCATTTGAAATTATCATCATGTATTTGACGGGTTTAAAAAATAGATATGTTTTGGGAAACTTTATAAAATGAATTAAAATTCGGCAACATGTGGAACAGTAGTATTAAATTATTTTACGCTAGTTTTACTCAATGCAAACTGACCCTCTGGTGGATTTTCTTTTATCTAACAGAATTCATAGTTTGAAATATTTAAGGTCTACAACATTGGGTAGCAAAGATATAGGGATTAGAAATATAACAACTCATTTCCTTTAGACTTTCTTATCTAACAGAAGTCACAGTATGAAATATGAAACACCAGCTTGCGAAGATATAGAGATTGGAAAATTATAATTTGTGGCAAATTTTTAGTTGTTTTTGTGTTTTTTTAATATCGAATAAAATAAAACAAAGGCTGATTTTTTTTATGCAAACAACCCGAAATAAAATTTTATAAAATTTTTTTCTTTTTTTAACAAATCGATTAAAAATCAGATTTTTATTCTATTTTAAAGTTTCATAAAAATTTATTGATGTATAAAACATTACACGCATTTTCAAATTGATAAAATACTTTTGCATTTTAGTAGGTATCTACATTTCTAAATTTTTCAACCTTAAACATGAACCATGCCTACTGAAGTTATGATTTCAATTAGTCAAATAAACATGAAACCCAGCAATTGTGTTGTGTTCACAGAACCGTTCCACTTAATAAGTTGATTTTTTTACTATAAGTAAATCATTTGCTGTATAACATAAAATGCACATGTAAAATTTCTGAAATGTCATCTTCTGTTTCCAGAGTTTTAGTGGGTTTCATTAAACAATGGCATAAGATTTGAATTTTCACTAACAGAAAAAAAAACCGTTAGACTAATCAATTTAGTATTCAGAGAAAAGTTATGAAATGTTTTGATTTACAAAATTACATTTTTTTATGTTATGATCCATTATTGAAATTTATACTCTGTAAAAAAACTTTCGTTTCCTGATTATTAAAATAATAACCCATAACAGAAACGTTGAATTTTTCATTATACAATAAGGGAAAACATTTCAAAACGTTTTCATAAACAGTAATGCATTTTTTTTGTTCTACAACGTTACACTTTTTATAAGTTGAACTTTGATATAGAAGTCCTTTCCTTATGATATTCAATCAAATCACAATTAATTTTTCAAACGTTAGCCTTTCAAGCTCCCCATGGAAAGAAAACATTTCTTCACATTATGGTCAAACAAGTTGTAGATATTAGAAAAATAACGTTACATTACCACAAAACGCTAACGCTAGGTATGAGCTCCTCTAACGTTAACATTAGGTATGAGCTCCTATAACGTTAATGTATAACATTCATGTTACATAGAATAAATCCATATGTTACACATTATTGTAACGTAACTTACAAAAACATACATTTTACGTTACGTTACACTATCGTTGACATCTCTACTATCTATACTATTGACCAGTAATTGAGGATACTTTGGAGGCTCAGTAAGACAAAAGGGTTTTATCTTAAACAATGGTAAAACCAAGCAGAATACTAAAACAACATCCAGAGTACACCATAAAACAATGTTTGCATTGTAATGGGATTAAAAACAAAAAATGAAAATTAAAGGATTATGTTGGGCAGGAACTTTATTGGCAAGGCTTCTAGATGCATGCCAAACAGTTTGTTCTTTTACATTGTATACAAAGTTGTTAAAGCAAGATTTGAAAATTACAAAGATCTGAGCTAAATTTGTTCCAAAGCCTCTGATATAGGACCAAGGGGATGTGACATTGATCATGGATCTCCAATGTAATTCAAAATTTGTGAAATCCTCATAAGCCCTCCCTTCATTAAATAATCGATCTCACTTTTCTTTTGATCCCTCAAACTGAAAAACATGCTTGGATGGATAAATTTTGAGAATTTTTTTTAAATGTCCTTGCAGTGACAATGAAGCCTATTTGCATTCAGGAAATGCTCCTTACATCAAAACGAAGATCTGGTTGACATCAACTGGTCAACTGATATAGAAATAGTGGACATTAAAAAAACTAAAGTGCTAAGACTTCTTAAATTACCCATAATTTTTTCGAGGGCTAAACCTATTGATAACACATCATTCCATAAAAATTACAGCACACATGTTGCAGTGGTGACGATAAGGGCTGCGCATTGTTCTTAGTGAATGATTGTTCTTTCACAAGAATGAATGGAATGATCAAGAACAATCCCATCGTGCTGAAAAAAGAATTTAGCATAGAATGCATTCTTATAAATGTTTGAACGATTCGTAAAGGAATGGAATCGAAGGGAAAGGAAATTTTTGAAAAGAACATTTAAAATCAGTAACTCATTCATATTATCAAGAACACATTCTAATTTGAGAACGCATTTTAGATCAGGAATGTGTTCTAAATCATCTAGAAATAAATGAGAGATTTTTTTTGATTTGATCACCTGAACCCACCCTGTTCTTCTACTCATAAAGGAAAGGAACAGAACAAACGGAATGAGAAGGGAATGATTGAAAAAATGAACAAGAACGGAAAGATCTAGCTGAAGGCCCTTGTTCTAGAATGGAACAGAACAATTTCAAAAAAGTTGTGCCCAGCCCTAGTGACAATTATATCAATAAAATAAAGATGACTTTTGAATTAAGTTTTTATTTTTAACAAGTTTTCAAGTAAGTAAAGTGAAGCTTTTTTAACTGATAGCTTCTCTTTGTTTCCAAAAGCTTGATATAAATAAAATTTGAAATCAAAAGTCAAGTCGTCTTATTATGTTAAAATTATCACCTACCACAGTATAAACAAAATCTGGAAAGATATTTAATATTTTTAGGAAATACTTTTTCTGGAAAAAAACATACATTCGCAACCCTTGGGGCCACCTAGCATGTTCTAGTTGCACAACTTTACATTTCATTAAGTCTCCCTTATCAAATTTTTTAAAATAAACCTTTTTTCATATGGAACAGGATCAACGAGTTGCCCTACAGCCTTTCAATGTGTGTCAATCTTCTTACTGTGATTGATAACTTGATTAAGGTATTATGTTTCATATAAAAAAAATCGTTATACAGGTAAATTTTCAAATGTTACTGTTGTAAATCAGGAATGCATCTCTGCAAATGAAAGGTCACTTGATTTATTTCAATCCCTTTAACTAATATTCTCTTTAGTGTGGCCTGAACCAATCTAGATGGAAAGCTTATGGACATCAACTGCACTGCATCCAATCATATTCTGCTGAACCCAAACAGCTTGGAGAAATTGAACTTAGACAAGGACAGTAAAGATTGGTGTTGTTTTTTTTAAAAGATAAAATTTGTCATGAAAAACGAACAATGGATGAACAAAATGCATTGCTAAGAGAAATAAAAAGGATCCAAAAACAAAAACTAATGATTTAAAATCGTTCAAATGAACTTTAAAAGCTATCATTATTTCCAAACCAATTTTCCAAAAGATTTTGAAAACACGATTGTTTTTTACTGAAAAAAAGATTTGTTTAACCAAATTTTTGAATAAAAAAGATCTTTTATTAACTAAACGAACAATTTTATTGAACAATAGTTCACTGAGAAAACTAACAAAATAAATGAAAAATGAACGAAAATTTTGAGAACGAACGAAATCAAATTTTTTAAAGGATTGAAGAAAACTAAGAAAATGGGTTTTTAACGAACGTTAAATGAATGAAATGAAAAAAAGCCAAACACAACAATCTTTACAGGACAGAGGTCTCAATGTCTGAATGCTTGCAATAGACAAGAAAACCTTGTCACCAAATCAACAAGGAAGTTTTACCATTCAGTTTATAAAACAAAAACATTCTTTTACAGATATTGTCCTGCGTATTAAACTATTTTTTTCTTTATCACAATACTTAAAAGGATTGTTTGCAAAAAATAAAAGGGGTATAAGCTTACGGCGAAAAATAAACACTTTTGATCGCTACTTATCTTAGTTCTATCTGGTGCGTCTATAAGGAGAAAATTGTTAAAAACAACTTTTTCTTAATAACGTATTGTAAACTAATTAATTTAATTTTAAACACATCATTCAGATATTATCATCAATTATTTTTCCAAACGTTCATAGTTTCATAATATTTGTTATTTGTTTTATATACAATGCACTTAAAACTACTTTTTTCTGCTAGGTCTCTCTATCTGAATGATTTGCTTGTAATTAAATTGATTTTTTCTTCTTCGATCAGACAAAGGTTTAAAGGGTACCATTTAAAATCAGTCATGCTAATGCATAAATGGATGTTTACTTGAAATTATGTCTACAATCACTTTAAATAAATCTAAATGTTAAAAATGAAGTGTTTATCCCGGAGAAAACTTTGAATATTCTGAGGATTACCAACTCATTCTCAGGTCCAATCATTTTAAATTTTTACTTTTAAATATTTTTCTTGAAAAATTTGCTATTACCACTTGAAAGTTGGGGTCATAGAAAGTACCAGACAAACTTCAAAGGAAGTTGTACATGCAATGTAGAAGGCTGATTGGTAAATAAACTAAATAAGCATGGTGTCTCAGTACTTTGTTGAATTTTCCCATTTTTTTAATAACACCAAAATAGCATTAGCTATTAAAAAGTATAAGAAAGTTTAAGAGTAAAATTGTTGTTTTTGTGTCTAAAACATAATATCAAATATTTATTTTACCAATATTTCAAAATCTAAATTTTTCATTCTATTTAGAAAGATTAGACGAATATGTTCCGAGGAAAACCATCCTGGTTTTACAGTTCATGTTTTGAATAAAAAATACCCAGGTTAATTTCAAAATTTAAAATCTCTTCATTTGAGTTAATGATGTTTCATCAACATTATTCTGTTTGTTTCTAAATACACTTATTATCTTAATTTTTTACTTCAGAATCCCAAATAAGTCTATCTTACAACTCCAAAATAATCTAGACTGCTATAATTAATATAATTGTTCACTTAAACAAATGTTCTTTTAAAAAATTCAATAAGTTTTAATTTGGATACTTTAAATTAGGAATTCCACAGAAATATTTGTTAGAGCAATTCCAGACAAAATTTGCAAACTGCAGAAAATTTTTTTTTTCTACATGGAATCCCTAAAGTTTATCTTATCAAAAAATACAAGAAATTGACTAAAACTTGGACATCATTGCGGGCTCTTTAACCACTTCAGATCGGAAAGATATGCTTAGTTGTTGTCCTACAGGCAAACGTTAGGGTATTGTGTGTATTCTAAAGTAAGTGGAAAATCTTTCTAAGGTTGCATCTTAAGTCAATTTTCAAATAAACGTAAAATCTGTTTTTTTAGAGCTTTGTGGTGTGGCACTCAGTAGTGAAAAAAGTAGGTCTTTGAATTTCTGAGATTGTATTTTTGAGTATTATTCAAGATTTAAAATTTTCGAAAATAGTAGTTTTACGGAAAACTAATATGAATCTATGATTGTTCCCACGGAAACCAACAAAACAATTTTTAAACAAATCATTTCGAATTCAGTAACATCACTAACAGATCTTTCTTCGCACAGCAAGATGTTTACTGTGATGATTTATTGCAGGTTTACCTTCAAAGGATGAGACTTTAGAAACGACTATAGGGAATGTCCTTTGTTTACATTTAGGTTTCCTTGCCAGCCAAAAAATGGCTTATTTCTGTGCTTTATCATTTAGAACCATTATTATAATAAATTTAAGACAGAAACCATAAATTAAGCTTTAAATCGTCATATTCTAAGAGTTCTGGGAAGGGTTGGGCAGGTTCCAACATTTCAAGCTTTTTCCTTAACGGTTAGTACAAACTGTTTTTAAAATAAAATCTCAGGTATCTATTAGTTTTAGAGGGTAAGAACAAAAATTTGGTTTGTTAATTGTATTTTCAATTATTTTTTAATTTACTGTTTGTTCAGAATCTCAATTTTAATAACGCATTAACAGAAAATTTTCAATTCAATTTTCTGAATTAATGGTGTTAAAAATATTATGTTAACAGTTAATGAAATCATTAACAGCACAGCCATTAACAGTCTATTACAGTATTAACAACATCCATAATTTTAAAAAATAATAAAAACATCAAAACACATAATTTTTTTTTTTTAACAAGTTCAACTAAATTGTGTTTTCAGAAAAAAAAACCAAATTCAATGTTTTTAAACAAAAAATACACTTTTTTTGTTTTCAATCGTTAATTATTTTTTCAAAAACAGGTAGTTTGTTTTAATAATGATATAAAAATCAACGGTTTTTTGTGGTTAGTTAACGGACTCTTCCGTTTTTTTTTGAAAACCTGCTTTTAGTTAACAAAACTTTGCCAAGTCCTAGTTCTGGGTCGTCTTTACAATCTCATCCTTTGTGGGTAACCCTGAATCTTAATTCAACCTGATCATATCCTTGGCCCAAATTTCAATTCTTTAAACCAATAAAAATAGTATAATTCTTTAAACCAATAAAAATAGTATAGTTTTAGTTTAATAATATTATACAACAAGTGCAAATTTTTTTCTGTCATAAATCATATCCTTTACCTGCACATCTCCAGTAAACAAACACCTTTACCTGCACTCCAGTAAACATAAACCTTTATTGACATAGCTCCCATCAGCATAATCCTTTACCTGCATAGCTCCTATAGCCCAACTGATTAAAGGTTTGGAACCTAAAGGGACCAGGTTCTTTAAAGGGATCCCTTTACTGCCCCCACGAGCCAAGATCAATCCTTAATATTCAAATTAGTCTTAAGACTCTAAAATAAAATAAATCATAGAACACTTTGGATGAACAAAAAGACAAAAAATTTAGTCTTGCTTGATTTTGGGGTTTCATTTTATAACAAAATTGTTAAAATTCTTTGCAGCCTTGCAGGTATCTCTTAATGAATTACTAATGAACAAATCCATTTTTTGCGGATTTCTGATCTATTCTTGGCAAATTTTCTTTGATTTTATTTTTTAACTATAGACTATACAGTAATTTTTAAGACTAGGCTATACCTTCTATTTCAATTGTGAACATGCTCTCTTGCATATATTGTAAAACAAAAACAAACAAAAATTTTGTGAATTTTAGGAGATTTTTTTGTAGATTCTAAAAATTTTCAAAAATTGAATTTTGTTAGAGGCAAATTTTTGTAAATGTGATCATCCAGAAATCTCAACTAGGGTCATGTGAGGTCAACAAAAAATTTGAGCACGATTGGTTGAGCTGTTTTGATGTTTATTGGACACAAACAAACAGACAGACAATCAATAAATCTATTTAGATGAATCTGAGAAGAGACTTGAACTGGTAAAACAGTACGCCAGGGATAACATAGTCAGGTCAGGTTTGTGTAAGACAAACGCTTCGAAAAATGAACTCAAATTTTGGCAGCATTCCTCCCTCTGTACATCCCTGAAATCATCTCTGTATTGTCCAGCAGACCCATCCCACATCACCAAATAGAACCCATCAGCATTTAGAGTTTAACTTATTTTTGTTTTAGTCTTTGGGCCTTTTCATTTGAAAGTTTTCCCTGTCTATTACCTAGAAATAGAACTTCTTCAATTTTTATAATTTAACATTTTTGGCCTGTATTTACTTATTAAGTTAAAGAATTTTTTTTAACACAAAAAATGTAATTTAAAAACCTAAAAAGTAGTTCACCTGGGTCTTCTTTGTGTTGTGGTTCCTGCTGAAATATATTTTGAAGTTGAGTTTTATATAAATCATAAATAAAAAAGATATTTAAAATTATAGCTAACTGCAAAGTTAAGTAAAGGTTAAAAAGGTAAAGTGAAAAAAAACTAAAAATCCAAGTCAATTTACATGTAAAAATAGATGAATCTAGATAAGAAAAAAAAAGATAAATTTTAAGATTATTAGAATTTTGTGTTTTTTTTGCGTTCCATATTATTTATGACAGCAATTGACTTTTTAAAAATGTTTTACAAAATCTATTAACATTTTGATCATAGTATCTTACTACAGAAATAGAATCTTAAAATTAAAGACACGTTGTTCGAAGTTATGAACAATATGTTAGATTCCCAACATTCTCCTTGAAGTTTTGTATAAAATGTCTCTCAGTAAGTTTGATTATATGAAAAAAGTTCTGTATGGTTAGTTTTTGCCAATGTGTTTTGTTAAATTGTTGTAAAGTCCAACCTTCTGTAACCTAAAACCTATGTAAAGAGTAAGTCTATAGCTACATTTCATGGCTTCTGATTGGTTCTGATTTGACCAATGACATGTCTGGATAAACAGCTGTCATAATTCACAAAATTTATTATGTAAATATAGAATGGTTTTTACAAAATCTACAATCCCCGGTTTCAACTAAGAGTTAATGCCAAGTCTAATATATAGGAAGGGATAAATCCATCTATTGGTCGGTTAACATAAAACCCAGTCGGATAAATCCAACTATTGGTCGGTTTACTTAAAAACCAAGTCGGATAAATCCAATTATTGGTCGGTTTACTTAAAACCAAGTCGGACTCGGATAAATCCAATTATTGGTTGGTTTACTTAAAACCAAGTCAAGATAAAACTCGACTTATCACTTGGGTGTAAATAAACGCTAAAACCGTTTTTTTGGGGGGGGGTTAAGCTTTTGAATGCTCAGTTTAGTTCTAATTGGTTTTCATGAAATATATTCATTGAAAAGTATCTATTTTAGTGTGAATATGTACATAGAAAACCCGTTCATCACTTCATATACAACTGATGTAGAGATGTCAGGATTGGATATTATCTCAAGTATAGGAGGACTTTTGGGACTTTTCATTGGTAAATATTATTAGAACTTTTAGGACTTTTCATTGGTAAATAGTATTTAAAGACTATTAGGACTTTTTAATGGTGAATTATAGTATTAGAGGACTTTGGGGACTTTTCATTGGAAAAAATTATATTGGAGCACTTTGGGAACTTTTTTTTGAAAAAATTATATTGGATGACTTTGGGGACTTTTTATTACTAAATAGTATGGTTTTTTGAATTTTGATATTGGTGTAAAGTATGGTTAGGACTTTTGGGACTTTTCATTAATAGAAATTATTAGTGGACTTTGAATTGGTAAATATCGAAAGGACTTTTGATGGTTTTTTTTATTATTAAGCAGTAGCAAAGGACTTTTCGGACTTCTATTGGTAAATAGTTCAAAAGGACTTTATGGGATAAAAATATATATACTACGATAAATTCATATACATATGAGACAAAAAATCTTCAGGAAATTCAGAATAAGGTTGAATAAAGCCTGTTTGTCGTCTAAACGTATCATACCTTCTTATAATATAATGTTTATTAATGTTTATATATTATTCTAGGATTTTCCCTTGTTACCCTTGGAGAGATCGTTTATTATCTGTTGTTCCTGATGTTCAGTAGAATAATTACAAAAAATTGATGGAAAATTATGAATTCAAATTACTCTTAAATAAAAGTATTCTAATCGTCATTTTCAATCTATTTTTTTACTGTTAAGATATAATTTTTCTGAAACTGTTTAATACTCTGCACTGTACGAACTGTACACATGTGTACCATGTATACTGTGTAATGTGTAGTGTGTACTGTGTACTTATCATTATGCACTAGCTATGTTCTGTCTCCTGTTTATTGATTTTTTGTACTGTGTACTAATGCATATATTCTGTGTGTTAATTTTACTCTACTGTGAACTGTTTAATGTGTATAGATTCTGTGAACTTTATATTGTATTGTTAACTGTGACCTGCGTACACTGAATTGTCGCTAAAAGAACCTGTCAAATCTTTCGTTAGGATGTTAATTTAGAAAGATGAAAATTTCCCTGAAAGATAATTGAAGGTCTGCAGTATGGTTTTGGTGAATTATATTGACGTACTAAGCCTAGGGGTGTCAGAAATGATTTTTTTGCATTTTTTGAAAACGTCCAATAAACCTAAAAAAGTTTGATTTTGATAAAACTTTTTGTTCTGGATGATAACAAATATCTATCTAAAACTTTCTTAAACTGGCATGGCATATTTTTTCTATATTCATTTAGTTAAGAGTTTGAGTTAAAATAAGTATTAATAAATATTGCTTTATATCGAGTAGATANAATTCACCAAAACCATACTGCAGTCCTTCAATTATCATACAGGGAAATTTTCATCTTTCTAAACATCCCAACGAATGATTTGACAGGTTCTTTCAAGTTCCATTTAATACACACGACGGCACTCTTTAACATTTAATCTTATCAATAATGTGGAAGTAATCATCATTTTTCTACTGTTAGTTTCATAATTTCCTACATAGCGCAAAGTAAACAATTTTCAAAGAGATAAGATAGAAGCCTCATTTATTCTTGATCCGGCACAGTTTTAAGATTTTTAGGATTTTTAGAGTTGTAAATGGAAACTCGCTTGAAATTACGTCTTAAGCCACACTCACTCATAAATCAACATAAAAAGTATAATAAAAAAATAATAAAATATTAAAAAATGCAGCTAAGTTTCTTGTGCATCTTACCCAGTGGCTGAGCCCCCCCCCCTTTAACAAAAAATAAAAACAACAAGCGGAGACCAAAATGCTGGGCGGGAGACGAATGGCGGGAGGCTTGGTGACGTCACGGAGGCTGGGAGTTTTGTGGGGCCTGGAGGTAATTCTGCAAATCCGGAGGCTCGGAGGTCATTTTTGCGGGGATCATGGCGCCTCTGCACCCCGGCTCCCTCGTAAGGGGGGTTGAGATATTGCAACCCCCCCCCCTCCCTCCCTCCTCTCCTCTCTAAAGGGGTCCCCATTTGCTAAGATTGATAATGAGAGCGAAGGATATAATAATATCAGTTTTAATTTTCAAAATCAAGAATTTTTTAAAAAGATATTATGGTTTTATTAAACGGACGAAGGGTGCCTTACCATTCAAAGTTTTGGTAGGGTCCCTCCCCCCTCCCCCTCCCTTGCAGTGCCTGGAGGTTTAGTGTTCATTTCCTTCTAAAGGTGAAAATATAACGGATTTTGTACAAAGGTAGTAAGAAGTCACATCTGTATAGACATGTGATGTGACTATCTATCTATATATGTGTAATATTTTATCTCTCTATCCCAGAAACATATTTTAATTGTTAAACACAAAATAACAGTCAGGGACTTCCTTTATGCGATATAAAATCTATTAACCAGTTAATTAAAATTTGTAAACATTTATGTGCATATTTTGAATATCAACTAAGATTGTCGTTTATAAGTCTACATGGGAGTTAATAATAAAAAAAGTAAATATTAAAGTGATAAAGAAATTGAATATAGACTTTATTAAATCTTTTAAATAGAACTAAAGCTAAATATCCTGTCTTTTAAAAAGATTATGATAAATATGTGAAAATGTGCAGGGCAAATATTTACAGATTGTTACTAATTTTAAATTATAAATAATTAACGACGTATCTAATCAAAAACCTTGATAAAGACGACTTACATTCTGTTTTTTACTGATAAGAACTTTTATTGCCGCGTATAAAATAATTCTCAGCTGAGAAATGGTTTTCCTTCAGATTATATTTTCATATGCGAAGGCCATAGTGAATTATTAATTGTAAACTTTCGCGGAAATGTGCGAAAATTTTCGAACGTTTTTCGCAAACTTTTTAGCGAAATTTTACTTTTTTCGCGATAATTGTTTCCGCGAAATTTCGCAAAAAATAGCTGCAACAATTAATTGCGCAAAAAAATTGCGGAATTCTTTGCTCTGAGAGTTTAGCATTATATCATAAAATAAAAATTTCTGTTCCGTATTTTTTTGTAATATTTTCGCATTTTCCCCCCTCTGAATTTTCGCTTTTCTTTTATCGCAAAAAATTTCGCATCTTTTCGCGAAACAGGTAGAAACAAAATTTCGCGAAACAGGTTAAGCAAAATTTCTGCGAAAAAATGAAAATTTTCGCACATATCTTGAGCGAACGAAACGTGAAAAATGCGAAATTTTCACAAAACGATTTACCCTTTTCGCTGGAAACCCTATTGTAAACTAACGCAGAAAAAAGATTATGTATAAATCACTGCAAAGAAGACATAAAACATAAGTAAAATGTACGTGACATTACCCATATCACTTTGTGACATCTTAGCTTCTCTAGTTTGGATTTTAAGTACGAGTATGAGAAAAAAAAATTAAATACAAATTAGAAATTCTAAACTTTTTTGTTCTTTTCAAAAGTATTTCAATTGAAGGAGTTATAATTGAAAACTTAAAATATTTCAATCTTACAATCCAATTACTTTAGTTTGATGTGAAACTGATGTAGCTCTAAGATGAATTTGCATGAGACAGATTACAGATCGTCTTCGTGCAAGGTAACGTATTTCAAGGAACAATTTATTATTTTCTTAGTTTATTCACAATTTTCCCTGAAACTATATAATAACGTGCGTAATTGCGTTATACCTTTTATACAAAGGACCTATAAAATATTTGGATAGGAAAACCACTCTGGGACATTAAACTATTAAACTATTAAACTATTAAACTATTAAATTATTAAACTATTAAACTATTAAACTATTAAACTATTAAACTATTAAACTATTAAACTATTAATTAAACTATTAAACTATTAAACTATTAAACTATTAAACTATTAAACTATTAAACTATTAAACTATTAAACTATTAAACTATTAAACTATTAAACTCAGCAAAAGTGCACAGTACAAAGAACCATTTCCCTGGAAAAGTTGATTTTTTATGTTGAAGCTTAAACAAACATTTGTTTTGATACAAATATATGCACAAAATTATTCAAATGTCGTCTTCACAATCCATAGTTTTATGAATCTCATTGTATACTAGGATAACGGCGGTGCTGTTACGGCAGTATTTGGCAGCCTTACATCTATTCTTCTTATTCTTCAGGTTAGAACATATCGTCTGATGTTTCAGATTCATTGGATAAATTAAAATCCTATCTTGATGTATTTCAAGAAGCACAGTGTACGCTAAATATGAGAAGTTTTACAAATTCAAAAACTGCTTTTCTTTCACCATGTCAAATTTTCACCCTGAGACAAACGAACCATAAATAAACCCGAAACGAAAGTATAAAAAGAATCGTTTCTTTTTTTTTAAGATTAAATATTAGAAAGTTTAATGACAGCAAACTTTACCAGAATAAAGTTTTGAAATGTTGAAAGTTTTATCAAAGAGATAAAAAATGAACCTAGTCCCGCTAATTACAGATTTTTGAGGGACGATTGGTCCTCATCATGATAGAAACAACAAGATTATTGTATTCGTGTATTTTTAATGTAAAATGTAATAAAAACTTATAATTTTTACGTTATTCCAAGATTTTTAACAAAAGCTATTTTTTTCAGTTGATTATGAATGTTTCGAACAGTAACAACAATAGAAAAAATGAGAATAACAACAACAACAACAATAATAACAACAACAATGTGAACTCTCAGACGAATGTGTTTATGAATATGTTTATGAACATGGTGACCGCTACAGGAATGAGTCCTGGAAAGCGTTCATTTTTAAGCCAGGTACAAATTCAGGGCTCGTCGCGCCTACGCGAGAAAATTATGTGTTTTTTATTAACACGTGGAAATTGGAAATTAACAGTTAACGATAAAATCGTCCGGAAATTAACGCACGAAAGAGATTTTAAAGGGAGTGTTCGTGAAAAATGAAAGGGGGTATAGGCTTAATGCGATAAAAAAGCGCTTTTGATCGCTACTAATCTTACTTCTATCTGTTGCGTCTATAAGGAGAAAATTGATAAAGACGTCTCATACCGAAGAGCGTAGCGCCCATACAAATTGAGGAAGTTGGAACATATGACTTAGACCGTAAAAAAATCAAATTAATATCAAACATTTAAGCTTATCTTATAGACATAAAAATTTAAAGAAATATTTTGATTTTGATCTATAAATCTAGTTATATTTTATTAAATATTTGACTTTTTTGGGGGAGAGAAGTTCGAATTTGTTTAAAAGTTACACAGCCTACAGTGCTGACCAGAATACTCTGGAATATGAAGTCGACTTTTAAACTCAAGTTATGTTTTAAATAATCCAATAAGCATGAAACAAGGCAAATGTGCAGTGTAAACAGACCCATTTCACTTAATAATTGATTCAATAACTTACTAGTAAAGCAATTTGCTTTATAACAACTTCAAATGCACTTAAGTATTGTTTTAATATCGTTGATGGTTTTGATTTGAATAAAAAGATTTATTCTTGATTTACTGGAAAGAAAAATAAGGATATAAAATATATGAGATTATACATATTTCAGGAGGAGCCCCGGGTGCCAAACCAAATCTGTTGGATATTTATTCAGAACTTTATGGATACAATAAATGAATCATCTTTCTAAACAATCTGTAACAAATACCTTACTCCAATAGTTCGTTTATTGTTCTCCAATAATACTTTAGTATGTATCAATCCATATACAACACTCCTGTATTCTTAAGTATGTATCGTTCAGATACAACTCGCTCTCGAACTCAATGTTCTCCAATAATACTTTAGTATGTATCAATCCATATACAACACTTCTGTATTCTTAAGTATGTATCGTTCAGATACAACTCGCTCTCGAACCCTATGTTCTCCAATAATACTTTAGTATGTATCAATCCATATACAACACTTCTGTATTCTCAGTGTGTATCGTTAAGATACAACTCGCTTTCGGACTCTTTGTTCTCCAATAATACTTTAGTATGTATCAATCCATATACAACACTTCTGTATTCTCAGTGTGTATCGTTAAGATACAACTCGCTCTCGAACTCTATTCTCTCTACGCGAGAAATAATACTTGTCTAAACGTAATAAAGCAAAGGTTCATGTCTAACTAGTCTATAATTTTGGGTTTATAGTTCAAGTTAATAATAAGGACCGATAGGTTTGTTCAGAAATTAATGAACGTAGTTAGGGTACAAATAATGTTATAACGTAATATATAGGTATGTTCAGGTTTACAAAATATGGTGTTTTTGACTATTTTTATTACAGATCTTTTATTAAAATCAAGCAGATAAACAATCAGAATTTATTCAACAGAGCCCTTCAAATCCCTCTCCTAGAAACAATTTTAGCGTTTAAATGTTTTTTTTCGTAATTGTAAAACACTAAATGTTGGGGATTTTTCTGAATTAACATTGATCGATTTTAAAGCAATTTAAAGTCGATATTTTTTCAGGTTTAATCATTTAATTTTGACCAACTATAAAGCTTCCAGAGTCCGAATTTAAATAACTTAAGCCGCGGCTCAAATATGAGATGCGGTTCAAACATGGTAGGTTCCACCTGAAATTTTTGATGGGCGGATTTTTGGTAATGTTAATTTGGTAATGACAATTTGGTAATGACAATTTGGTAAGGTGACAATTTGGTAACGACAATTTGGTAATGACAATTTGGTAAGCTCACAATAGTGGCAATTTGGTAATGACAAATTAGTAACAACAAAAAAGTGACAATTTGGTAATACAAATTTGGTAACGTCATAAAAGTGACAATTTGGTAAACGAAATAAAAGTGACATTATGTAAAATTGTTAAATTTTTAGTTTTATATTCAATTGAAGATAATTGATTCTAGGAATCTTTTATTTCTGCACAAAAGAAATGCGCCAAAAATAATTGTATAATTCGCAATATTTTCTAAAAACCACGTTTCAACCTGAACGTGTGTCATATACCGCAAGAAGAGGAGACTTGGATCATGAATTTCTTATTCATCACCCCTTCTAGGGGTGGCAAAATGTTACAAGATTCAAAAGGATTCAAATAATACAACAAGAACGGACTTTATGTATGTCAATGTTAGGAAGTTATCAATGTTACTTTTTATATGTAGTTACCAAACTGTTCCTTTTATAATCAACATTTAACATTTAAGAGGATGCAGTGCTTGGCCCCTAGCTCATTCTAGCCGCAGCGCTCGGCCCAGAAATTGTCTTAACCTAACCTAACCCAAATATTGTGAGAAACAGCACATTATTTAACATTTAATAGCCCGCAGCGCTCGGCCATCTAGCCCATACTAGCCGCAGCGTTCGGCCCGGTAGTTGTCTTAAACTAACCTAACCCAAAATAATGAGAGAAACAGCACATTATTAAACTTTTAATAGGCCGCAGCGCTCGGCCCCTTAGCCCATCCTAGCCGCAGCGCTCGGCCCAGAAATTGTCTTTACCTAACCTAACCCTAAATAATGTGAAAAACAGCAAATTATTAAACATTAAATTGAATTAAATTTAACTTTTATCAACAAATTGTCCTTTTTTTGTAGTTACCAAAATGTTATTACCAAATTGTCACTTTTTTGTAGTTACCATATTGTCATTACCAAATTGTCACTTTTATGACGTTACCAATTTGTCATTATCAAATTGTCACTTTTGTGAGCTTACCAAATTGTCGTTACCAAATTGTCACTTTTGTGAGCTTACAAAATTGTCATTACCAAATTGTCATTGCCAAATTGTCGTTACCAAATTGTCACCTTACCAAATTGTTATTACCAAAGTGTCATTGCCAAATTGTCGTTACCAAATTGTCACCTTACCAAATTGTCTTTACCAAATTGTCACCTTACCAAATTGTTATTACCAAATTTTCATTACCAAATTGTCGTTACCAAGTTGTCACCTTACCAAATTGTTATTACCAAATTTTCATTACCAAATTGTCGTTACCAAATTGTCACCTTTCCAAATTGTTATTACCAAATTGTCATTACCAAATTGTCATTACCAAATTGTCGTTACCAAATTGACATTACCAAAAATCCGTCCGTCGAAATTGTATTTAGTATTTCGAGATTTGAGCCGGTGCTCAATTGGAACCGGTTTTTGGCGTGAGTTGTCATTACAAATTTTTAGTCCAATCGATTAAGGCGTTTTGACGTTTATTGGATACAAACAAAAAGAAACAGACAGACAAGCCTAGTTTAAGTATAGAGAAGATAGCTAAATGGGTATTAAGAAGTTATGGTGAGATAGCTAAAGAAGGGTCTTTGCTGACTGTACGTAGTTACCTACAAAAGATTAAACTTAAGAGACGAATGTACGGAAAGGAATCTATTCCGCCATTTTCTTTTTGTAAAAATTTCTTTTATATATTATTTAAAGAAATATTGATATGTGGATCCAGACGGATTTATTCAAAGACTTTAAGGTCGTCATTTCAGTCTCATCTTTTGTTGATACCTCTGCATATATTTTAGGACAGTTAGTGCTGTGTTAAAGTAATTGGCAAAATTCTAAAATATTTTTCTTTATCTCTTTCAATATAGAACCTATTTCAATGCAGTAATGACTTTTTTAAGAAAAACTTTACAAAATGAAATAAAAACAGTAAAGCTAACATTGATGAAAGTATGTATTGTGCGTATATTTCTAAATAAACAGCGGCATGTAGCAGAGGTTGAAATTGTTTCCCATCCTTTTTAAAAAACATTAAGGCTTTTTTGGCTTTTTGATTTTAGAACCATTTACGAACTACAACACAACTCAAAATTTTAATCTTTGAAACTAAGGTTCATATTTTCTTTCAAAAAAAAACACAAATGTTAAAAAACAAGGGGGGGGGGG